TAATACTGTTATGTATGTTATTTGCATGGATGTTAAATTTGTCTAATATATTTACTACTTTTGTTTTAAATTAGACACAAGAAGATGTGGTATGAGTGCCAATGAGACAACTTTCTATCTAAGTCACAATTTGTAAAAGTAAACCATTATAGGTCAAAGTACGGCCTTCAATACGGAGCCTTGGCTCACACCGAACAGCAAGCTATAAAATGCCCCAAAAATACACGATTTTTTCAATGAAATGATATTGCGTGGGTATATACATGATAAAATCCCAATGAAATACAAAGAATGTACTATTAACATCAAATGATTTATCACCCGACCAACACTTTCATAACTATATGTATCTTGACACATCATAGAAGGTTATCAAGATATAAACACTGACGGACTCAGTTTGATTCATCAGAAAAAGCTATACATCTCACTTTTTTTTATTTTAATGTTTGGCTGTAAGGGGTGAAGGCTGTGTTACTTATGTTTGATTTAAATACAGGTCATTACCTTTACTCATCGTACATGTGCGATTTAAATACAGGTCATTGTCGTTACTCGTTGCACATGTGTGATTTAAATATAGGTCATTACCATTACTCAGTGTACATGTGTGTTTTAAATACAGTTCATTACAATTACTCATCGTACATGTGCGATTTAAATACAGGGCATTGCCATTACTTATTGATGTGTGATTTAAATACAGGTCATTACCATTACTCATCGTACATGTGCGATTTAAATACAGGTCATTACCATTACTCATTGTACATGTGTGATTTTTGATACAGGTCATTACAATTACTTATTGTACGTGCTGCAAACTGATGTACAATGACGCAAATCAATTACGGTATACATTTAACAGAATCCCTGGGGTACAATGTATAAATATAAAGACTGAAGATTTTGAAGTCTTTAATGATTGTTTATGGTTTAATTCAATTTCCCAGAGTATTAATCTGAGACAAACTATAAACTAATGTAAATCTGATTAAAACTATCTACTGCATCTAAATGTAATTTTGATAAAATAACTGCCATCATTGTAATTGATATGAAACTTATGTTCGTGAAATAATGACATTTTATAGTTCTGCATCACGTTTTTAATTACAAGTGTTCTCTGATTTTTAACTCCTGTACCAAATAAAATCGGACAAAATAACAATCAGACGGCTTGTTTTTAAATTTGATTTCCACTTCAATGAAATATGTTGTTGCAAAATTTAAATTAAGCTATGTATTGCACTCTATATCTCTGATTCCTTTTCGGGTTTGCTATTCTTTTGGTCCTTTTTGGTCTTACCAGCTTTTCAACTTTTTTGAATACATTTTGAATTTTCAAATATTTTGGTCTCGATCATCACTGAAGAGACATTTATTGCCAAAATGCATATCTGGTTCAATAAAACTTGTATCGTAAATGTTATTGTTATTGGTAGCATCCTTCTTTCATCTTAAATGTATGCACTCGAAATTTGTATTCTAATTTTATCGTTTATCTTCGGTAGCAGCAATATTTCAAGAATCATACAAACTATCAAATGGATATTTTAAGAAAAGTAAGAAGAAAAAAAAACACATCTGGCCTGTGTTCTAAGACAATTTCTCAAACAGTTTGGACAAACAAACAAAAATCTGGATGCTAGGAAAATAAACGGGAGGTTTAACTTATGCAGAACTTAGCATTTATGGTCCACGAGTTCACTAAATAACAAGAGGCTGTCAGAGTGACAGCAAACCGGATTTCCTGCAGAAGTCGGACCCTGAACAGTTGAGCAAGTATGGACACTACATTTAAGCTTAAAACAGCTCTGAATTTGGATTGTGATTGAATATTTGACACAGCATAGGTTTGTGACACAAAACGAATGTGGTCAAAGAACTGAAAAATTTGAAATTGGACATTTACCTATTATGGTCCAATGTCCAAAATCTAAGTACATTGTTAGAATCACCATATCAAAGAACACCAAGAATTCAATATTTGATGAAATCAAACAAAGTTTAATTTAGGACCCTTTGGGCCTCTATGTGGACCAATTTGATAAAGGAGCCCAAAATCCAAAATATATCAAAACATGGTTAGATTCAGCATTTCAAAGAACACCATCAATTCATTTTTTGTTGAAATCAAACACAGTTTAATTTTGGACCCTGATTTGGACCAACTTGAAAACTGTGCCCAAAAATGCAATATTTGAATACAGGTTTAGATTCAGCATTTGAAAGAACCCTATATATATTTAATTTATGTTGAAATTTTATCCATATACTTATTAATTTTCTGTTCAAAGGGAAATAACTCGAACTGAATAAATGATGAACAAATAGTTCTCTAAAATTAGATATGATTTAACCATTAAAAAATAGTTCTCTAAAATTAGATATGATGTTATACATTTGTATCTATTTTCAAATTATAATCAATAAAATTAGATATGATTTAACCGCTAAAACATTGTTAGAATCAGCATATCAAAGAACCCCAAGAATTCAATTTTTGATGAATTTAAACAAAATTTTAATTTAGGACCCTTTGGACCTCAATGTGGTATTATCTAATTAATAATGAAAATAAATACAGGTTTAGATTCAGCATTTCAAAGAACCCTATGTATTCAATTTATGTTGAAATCCAACACAGTTTAGTTTTGGACCCCGATTTGGACCAACTGGAAAACTGGGCCCAAAATCAGAAATCTAAATATATGTTTATTAATAGACAATATAAGCTTAGTTTTTAAAGGAGTTCACTTCATAAACAAGTATAAATTGAAAACAACGTTCAAACCTATGATTGCGTTGGATAAAAACCGCAATTTTTATACGTGTGCATGCAAAACAAATTTCTTGTTTGAGGGGTCTAAATACAGCACAAACAACATTTTTCAAAAGACCAAAAAAGTAAAAAAGTATATTTTAACAAAACGCATTTGACTAACAGGTCGAACAACGAATTTTCTTAAACCCTGCTGACTGCCATTGGCGATCGCCAAATCAACGGATCACAAGGTGTACTAAATGGATCTTAACTATAAATTTAATACCGAACAGAAAACAATAAACGTGCGGCAAAGATGGTATACCGCAAACAAAGGTGCAAAGATTTTTTGTACACCATATCCGGATTTCGACAATTAAAGTCTCTTCAGTGATGTTAGGATACGTGTGCATGCAAAACAAATTTCTTGTTTGAGGGGTCTAAATATATATATATAGCAATCAGAAAATTAGTTTATACAGAATAACAAACAAACCTACCACAAAATTCTTCAAGTAATTTACCAAAGAAAAGAAGAAAACAAATCCAAAATCCAAAATGTCATTTATCATTAATGCAATGTCTTTTAAAAATCTATAAAACTTATCTGTAAGTGTAATCAGACTTTATATATATAATTAACCATTTCTGTTCAAAGGGAAATAACTCAATCACATAATAAGTACATCCCCAAGTCAATAACCAATTTTTCCTTCGAAAATCCGGTTAAAAACGGTTCTTGTTCAAATGTTATTCTCACAGAACCTCCTTTTTCTTAATACATTTCTTTGCAAGTGCTCTTAGTATCCAGTTCTTGCAAAAACAGAATATCATACAATACTCTAACGTTGCATCTTCAAAGTAGCATATAGAATTATTTCTTATATGAATTTACTTCGTACTTTGTTAGGCCTTTTTTAACTTTTGTATACGAGCGTCACTGATGAGTCTTTTTTAGACGAAACGCGTGTCGTACAAAATTTCAATTCTGGTAAGTTTTTTAAAACTCTTATATACATGTACCTCTGACCAAAAAAAAAATTGAAAATATTTCATGTATTTTTGTTTTTATATTTAGTTTTTGGCTTTTTATACCGTGATTTCTTAAACATATTGGTGTGGTTTTATATTTTCTATTTTAGTATATCAGGCACATTAACTGAGATATTTCAGACATAAAAACAAAAATCTTTTTTGATTTTTACATAGAATTATAAATGTCACACAATTTATCTGAAATAATATGATCTAAAACTTATGACCGTATATTAAAAATTTAAGTTTATAGGTAAACAAAGTTGTTGGAAATGCGGAGATTACTACTAATCCCAACAAAAAAGATATGCAAACGATTTTGTGGTTGGTTTTTTTTCTCGTATCATAAAGCTACGTCGGTGTACGTTTGACTTAAAGATGTCCACGATGTTGAATGACGACTATTTTTTCCAAAGAACTATATAGTTTGTTCTCTTGGGATATTTCTGCTTCAATATACAATTAGAATGATACAAAACTTTCAAATTCTGTATCTTAAAAATGCCTTAATCTTCTTGTCTTATAGGCGAATGTCTATTAAGTTAGATTACTATTTGTTTAGCTTCCAGTTTCTAACGTATCATTCAGATTTAGGACTAGAGAAAATTAACAATAAATCCTAAAGGACGGGAAATGAGGATAAAGAGGGATTTTTGGATCGGGGCAATTAGTTTGCATCAGGATCGCCCAGAAAGTTGTTGCAAGGGTTCTCTAACATGCAGAGAGCGTGATACTGTCCCTATAGAATTAACGTACCCATTTCAACTGGACGTGACTACGTATTTATACATCAAACGAAAGTGACTGCGTATTATGCATTAAACGAACGTGATTGCGTATTATGCATTAAACGTACGTGATTGCGTATTATTTATTAAACGAATGTGACAGCGTATCATACATCAAACGGACGTGACTAAGTATTATAGATCAAACGGACGTGACTGCGTATCATACATCAAACGGACATGACTGCGATTTATAAATCAAATAGGCATGACTGCTTATCATACATCGAACGGACTTGACTGTGTATCATACATCAAACGGACGTGACTGCGTATTATAAACCAAACGGACACCCTTTGTGGGTTTATTTTCATTAAGAAAATCTGATAGTCTTGTCAGATAATTTACAGCTGCATCTTAGATGTATAACCAAAAAAAAATGGAGTTTGTAATTGGAATGTTGACTCACCTGTGATGGAAGATTTTTCTGTATAACTAGGGTGTTCTATTGACTGCCGTTTCTGTCGGGTTTTCATCGTATTATTTCCTGTTCAATAAAGAATGACGAATGAATATTCACATATACTGGTCATGATTTGGGGAAATAAAACGTCTAAAAAGATTTAGACATAATAAGATTTTGGTCATAATAATAAACTTAATTAATGTTAAAATACATTAACGTTAAATTTGCAAATGTTGTATCTTTCACTTATTCTGTAATTATACATAAAAAGATGTCAAAATGACATTTATACAATATAGGTCCTCCGAAAAATGGGATCTTCTATTATCACTTTAACAAAAAACATTTCTGTACAATTTTATTTGTTTAAGCCTATTATAATCCATCTCTACAATAAAGTAAGACGTGTGTATCACACTTGCTTGGAATCGGTTTGTCAAATAAGAAAATCAACCTGTTTACACTTCAACATGGCGACCAGGGGAAATTATTTAAATTTAGAAAATAATCTAAACATGAGGAAATGTGGTATGATTGCCAATGATACAACTATCCACCAGAGTTAGAATGAAGTGGATGAAAGCAATTATAGGTCATGGTACGACCTTTAATAATGAGCCAAACCCATACCGCATAGTCGGCTATAAAAGGCCCAGACATGCAAAATGTGAAACAATTTAAACGAGAAAACTAACAGCCTAATTTATGACAAAACAATTTACGAAATAAATAATTAAAAGCGACGTGAACCAACGACAACCACTGTACTACATGCTCCTGACTTTGGACAGGCACAAAAAGAATGTGGCGGGGTTAAACAAGTTTTTGAGCGCTCAACCCACCCTTACCTGGGACAGTGGCATAACATCACAACATAAGAACAAACTGTAAACATCAGTTGCAATTGGCTTAACTCAAAAGATCAGTGCGAGGGACAAAAACAACTAACATAAAAACAATATACCCGGTATACAAAGCACTGATAAGAGAGGACACGCAGTTATTGAAAGCTAGTTCAGAGCCAATAACGACTTAAAGATAAATCATGTTCTCCCAGACTAAAGTTATTTCAAAGTTTTAACATTATTTGCAAACTGCAACCGGTTTTAACTAGACACACATACACACACTAAATTACAATGAAACTCACAGCTTCAAAATGTTTTTATTCTATTTTCATTTTAGATTGTTATCCATGTGACATCAGTGAAACCTGTATTATAATTAGATCGTTATCCATGTAGAATCAGTTAAACCTGTATTATAATTAGATCGTTATCCATGTAGAATCAGTTAAACCTGTATTATAATTAGATCGTTATCCATGTAGAATCAGTTAAACCTGTATTATAATTAGATCGTTATCCATGTAGAATCAGTTAAACCTGTATTATAATTGGATCGTTATCCATGTAGAATCAGTTAAACCTGTATTATAATTAGATCGTTATCCATGTGAAATCAGTTAAACCTGTATTATAATTAGATCGTTATCCATGAAGAATCAGTTATATTTGCACTATATAGAAAAAGGAGATGTGATATGATTGCCAATGAAACAACTATCCACATAATTCCAAATGTCGTGGATATGAGCAATTATAGGTCATCGTGCAGCCTTATAAACAATGAAAAAACCCATACTGAGAACACATAACGTAAATACAGCTAAAAAAAGGTTAGGGAGATTTATGTAGAATCAAAGACTAAGGATTAGATTGTTATGTATATGTAGTATCAAACACTAAGGATTAGATTGTTATGTATATGTAGAATCAAACACTAAGGATTAGATTGTTATGTATATGTAGAATCAAACACTAAGGAATTTAGATTGTTATGTATATGTAGAATCAAACACTAAGGATTATATTGTTATGTTTATGTAGTATCAAACACTAAGGATTAGATTGTTATGTATATGTAGAATCAAACACTAAGGATTAGATTGTTATGTATATGTAGAATCAAACACTAAGGATTAGATTGTTATGTTTATGTAGTATCAAACACTAAAGATTGGATTGTTATGTATATGTAGAATCAAACACTAAGGATTAGATTGTTATGTTTATGTAGTATCAAACCAAACACTAAGGATTAGATTGTTATGTATATGTAGAATCAAACACTAAGGATTAGATTGTTATGTATATGTAGAATCAAACACTAAGGATTAGATTGTTATGTATATGTAGTATAACACCTGAAATAAACTGTTACTAGTAATAGTCTGAGACAGAATACACGTGTAATTGAATGTTTAACTATATATGAGAGAATAATTTTAATAATCATACTATTATCTTTTTAAAATCTGAGTTGAAAGTGGAAAAGTGTAAAAATGTCAATTTGTACAAGACGAACAACAAATTGCTTGTTAATTGTCGATTCATTTGGAGAGTGGGTTTGGCAGGAGGCTCTTTTTTTCAGGCAACAGATAATCATGTATACCTTTGCTTGAAATTCCTGATGCCTTTGCTGGTTTTATTCTAGTTTCCATCGTAGGCAATACCCTATAAAGAAAAGAAGTCAATTTTCTAGAAAAAAAAAACCTCGAAATGTCTGTCATTTTCACAAATATATACTTTGTAACAGTTATCACACATATACAGCTATAACTTTGTATCTGATTTTCATTTAAGAAAGGGCATTTTCTTCAAAGAACTACCTGTAAATGACAGGTCTGTGGTAATGTGTGTATAATGATGATAAAAAATCATTAAAACCCCGTTTGGCCACAAATTGGGATAAACTTAAAGGATTCTAATTATTCATTTTTAATCATTTTGTAAGGTAATTTGTTGTTACTCTTTTCAAAATGACTTATTGTTTTATCTATTCTCCTGTGAAATTGATCTTGTTTTTGGGAGGGATAAATCATACTTTGACGACTTTTTCCTTTGTTCATATGCATATGAGATGAGCGTCTTAGAAAGAATGAAAAGAAGCTAGCATTATCTTTTAACTTCACGTTCCGATACATAAACGATGATGTCCTCTCACTAAATAATTCAAAGTTTGGTGACTATGTTGAACGCATCTACCCCATCGAACTTGAAATAAAGGATACATCAGAATCAGTCAAGGCTGTCCCACATCTTGATTCACATATATATGTAGGACTCAAATCTATGGCGGGTTCCAAATCTATGGCAGATTCCTAATCTATGGCAAATGTGACGTTACAAACGTCAAACAAATCAAATCCATGGCAGATTTTGTTTTCTCCAAATCTATGGCAGATCTTTAAATTGCGAAAGAGTAACATATAACGTCACAATTAAATAACACCATATTAAATCGTCGCCGCCGCAAACGATGGCGGAACCCATAGATTTGAACACCATTCCAGATGAAGGTATTTCCCTCGAAAACAATTTGTGGATGGTTTAAAGGAAGATGTGGCCTTTTATCCTGAAGAGGGACAAAATGTGCTGTACCGGCCAAAGCCCGCGATGAATAAGGGCACTGCTGTTTTCTGTACAGGATATTTTAGAAAAGGAGTTATAGTACACTGAACTGCGGTCAAGCTTAGCGAAAGGTCGTGCAACATAATCAGTCAAACAAACTTTATTAGATTAACTCGTTAAGGAACGATCGTTTTCATTGGTCAATTCAAACCTTCGACCTCACACCTGCGAAAATAGAACACGCGTACTATAAAGCTGAATGGACTGATCAGTATTCACGTAGCCGGTCAAGGTCGTTAAAAACTTCCATCGTCGTATTCCCGAACATGATTGTGTTCTTGATTATCGCATGGCAATTCTAGCTTTTATACATGTGCATGTAAAATTTTAAACTTTAATCTTCACAGTCACGTTGAAATATTTAATTCAACTGTCTCCTCTCAATTGGTCCTGGATTAAGGGAGCTACCATTTTATTTTGATTGGGGGTGAAGGACTTGGATGAAACATTTTGTCCTGCATTTTTTTTTAGTTGTTATCTCTCACGGTCCTGTCTTTCTATTTTTCAGTCTGTTAGGTCCTGACTATATTTATTCGTTTATCCTGATTTTTTACATAAATCGTCATCCTGCCTTTTTTTTGTCAAGTTGCTCACCCTGCCTTATCTTTTATTCAATGGACTTGATGAATTAACGTTGTACTTGAAATGAAACCGTACTTACACCCCAGTCCTATTGTTATACTTCATAGTTTCTATTTCTGAAACAAGTGTAAATTGAATAGATCTATTGTTACGAATAACAATGGATTTTGACCACAGGGTGTGACGAGCGGGGTTTCTGGAAACCCCTGCTTCTACATCCCGCAAACAAAGTCCATTGTTATTCGTAACAATAGAAATTGATTATTTTTTGAATAGCATGAACATAAGAAATTACTAATAGTGTTCACTACAAATTGTTTCATGATATTAAAAAAACACATTTTAGGATATTCCAATAAGCATCTATATGGAATACAAAAATAATCCTTTAAGTACTCTTTTGCTTGAAGGTAATTTTTTTTATCCCAGTTATATGTCTATATTCTAAAGCATTGATCTTTTAAAAAAATGGGGATTCTAACTCCCGGACCACCCCCCCCCCCCCCCCCCCCCCCATGTTACCCAGTGGCCGATCCGGGGTTGGGGTTCCGCGGGTTGGACCCGACTTTTATTTAAAAGATCAATGCATTTGAATGGTTGGACCCCCCTTTTTCTCTTTGAGTTTGGAACCCCCGGTTGGATCAGCCCCTGATTGCCCCAAAAAAGGGAGTTCCTCAATATTAAATAGTGTATGTTGAGCGTGTCTGGTAGTCGGTTTTCTAATGCAGACACACCTATCTATCCCTTAGTATTTTTCGAATATGAATGTTTGTTTATTCTCGAGAAGAGGGGGGGGGGCTTTTGATTTTGATAAAATCGTAAAATATAAAATACAGTTATGATTACCTTTATCTGTTTATTAAACTGATACAGGTAAGTACTTTGGGTTATAATATTGCTTTAGTCTCTTATACCAAATCCAACGCTTGCCACAAAATGTCGTCCGTCTTATACCCGTTCATATTGACAACTGTATACCAGGAGCATGATATATTTTTTGTTTGTAATAAGAATACACGAAACAGTCAACCTTGACCTGCTGATCCATATTAGCACATGGATTTAACGGGAATATGCAAAACAACTTGACATTTGTAAAATATACTCACTTGTCAAAGTTTGAACGAAGATAACCAAAGAAAGGTTACTAGTGGGGTTTCATGTAATAAAAAAAATATTCTTATAAATCATGGTTTGATATTGACAATGAATATGCTATCGGGTTTTTTTTTTCATTTAATAATCAATGTTATCAAATATAGGGTTTAGAATGGGGTGTAAGTTAGTTATACACCTCGGGATACGGCGTGTCTGGATAAGAAACCCCTCCGGCCTCCGGCCGACGGGGTTTCTTATCCAGACACACCTATCCCTCGGTGTATAACTATTACTTAAATACAAAAATAACCAAATTACATACTAAAGATATTGCTCGATTTTTATAGTAAATGGGTTTGTGTTATAAACTGTCATGTTCATTATTCATATTCTTTCATAAGTTTTAGGATAGTGTGATATTTTTTCTGATTTAGTTTACTTGATTTTGAAAAAAAAATCCCGAAATTCTAAGTAAATTCAGAACATGTAACCAGCCATGCTTTGTTTAGAGAAAAAATGGAGATGGCAAACCATGGCACAGTGGAAGGAAATGTACTTTATAAACTCCAGCGATATACTTTCTTAATTTATAATTAACTGTTTTGCTATCCTCGGTTGAAAATTATATATTGTAAATATTTAAATAGTTGCATAGAAAACAATCAGTTTTAAACAGTGTGGTTATTCACTAAATGTAATTGATAAAAGGTGACTCCATTTTTGTACATACTTTTACAGTAGTCATCCTTAATTTCTTAATATTTCGTTTATAAGTTTATCATACATGTATGATTTTGTATTTCATTTTAATACGCACGCATGCCACACGTTACTTTGGCGGATTGTTCAACAATGTTATGCAAAGCTCTATTCTTACGGTATGAAATTAAAGGATAAATTTTCAACCAATCAAAATCGAAAACAGTACATTTATATAGTTCCTTATAAACTACGACATTTCTCACAAGTATTTATTTATTTTTTAGTTCCACACATGCAAAAATAAAATCTTCGCCGATGAAACATTTCAAACCTTTTTACACCAACATGCCTTCACTGAATTCATTTGAATTTCGTGGTGACCATGAAAGTACATTGCATAGTACATCTATATTCACGTGCACACATGGTACGATCTTTCGGGGACAATTTGCTCGTTTATGACACGTCATTTCTGAAGACCAAACGCTTAGCTTCTTTATTTTTGTTTTATAGCATGAAAACAATAAAAGAGGAATGTGCAACCCATCATAAATTTGAAATAGATCAGTATTATGAGATCCTTATTATAAGTAACTACGACATTGTCAGGATAATAACCTAGCGTCAAAATGAAAGAAATTAAAGTGGTTCATACATTCATCCGTATAAAAGCGGCACATGTATTTAATTTATCCTTATATTTTTCATAGTGCGGTACAAGTGCTGCATGCATAAAGAATATTACTTAACACAAATTATTAGTATAATATTTCGACCCCACTATTTGAAATTCACAAAATACTTATTTAATCATTTCGACCAAAAATCATTGTTTTTTACGTTCGTAGTAACGTAGTACATTCCATTGTCGGTCACCTGTGTCAATTCACGTGCACACAACAATTGTTGTTGTATTTAAATCTTTCGGCCAATGAAGTGAGACGTTACAAGTTGTTTGTTTGTGATACGCCAGAATGTTATCAATGAATTATCAATCGCTAAACTTGACTGCATTTCAGTGTAAATATTTTTCTGTCTACGGCTGGCAAAGTTTATAAAGTGAAAGATGAAATTACCAGATACCAATGTGATTTAATTCGTCATCAAATAAAAAAACTTATGTAATGACGATAAAATTAATATTAATTCAAAATTCAAACTGTTCATTTTTGTCGAGTCTGTCACTTTTTTTCGCAAATGCGAGACATAGCGATTCTATATTCCGTCGTCGGAATCAGCGTCCTCGACGTCGGCGGCGTCCACAAATATTCAATCTGTGGTTAAAGTTCTTGAAATTTTAATAACTTTCTTAAACTATCCTGGATTTCTACCAAACTTGGAAAGAAGCTTGTTTATGATCATAAGATAGTTTCCAGAAGTAAATTTTGTAAAAAAATATAATCCTGTTTATTCGTATTTTTCTTATAAATGGATAAAGTTTTTCTGCAAGTTAATATAGCATTCATTCTGTGGTTAAAGTTTTGGAAATTTTCTTAAAAACTATGTTGGATTTGTACCAAACTTTAACAGAAGCTTGTTTATGATCAAAAGCTAGTTTCGAGAAGGAAATCTGGTAAACATTTTATTCCTGTTTTTCCGTAAATTACTTATAAATGGACTTAGATTTTCTTCAAGTTAACATTACACACAGTCTGCAATTAAAGTTTTAAAAACATTTATTAGATTCATAAGCAATCCTGGGTTTTTACCAAACTTGGACAGAAGTTCTCACAATCAAAAGAGGAAAACTTTTAATATTTTTTTTCTCCATTTTTGTTGAACCCTTACGAATTTTTATTTATTTTTTTTTATATAAAAAACTGCCTTCTTCTTTGTTAAGGGACTTACTAGTTGGGTTAAACAGTTACCATGCACAGATTAGAAAATGTTTATTTTTTCACGGGGTACATCATTTCAATCTTGAAGTCTGTATTAAGGTATATGAATTCATCATTTACGAAATTTTTTGGTGCCATCACGATTAGGTTGACCATTATGGAAATTCCGAATGTTTATTTCGCAACTGTTTATAGACATACTCCCGTTGTCGTACATTTCCACTTGTTTAAGACAAGTCATTGATCGTATATGTACTGCATTGTTTCCATTTGCACAAAATTTGCCATAGATTTGGAGACAACAAAAATCCGCCATAGATTAGGAAATTACAAAACTTGCCATAGATTAGGATTGTAAAAAATCTGCCATAGATTTGGGATGGTATGACGTCACATTTGCCATAGATTAGGAATCTGCCAAAGATTTGGAACCCACCATAGATTTGAGTCCTACATATATACTGACAATGATGGTCGGTTGAGAACAAAACTTTAAGGCAAAAGAGATGATTTGAGCTTCTTATTGCAGAGCCTTGTATTTTTTCCTGTTCCATAGCCTTATTCTTATATCGTTTGTATGTCAAGTCAATATAATATGTTTGTCTGTGTTGTATGCTGATTATTGTTTTGTATCGTTGATATTTGTTTCAATCACATGGACAAAAATCATAAAGTTATCAAATCCTACTAGAAATTGAATATATCGCTTATTGTATCCGTGTGCTTTCCTTTCTATACAAATGTTCATCTATTCACCAAGAATTCAATCAGTAATATTTCAGACAATAAAAGAGATTAATGCATTATTTTTTTCGATTTTCAGTTAAAGTTCATACAATGAATCAAATTTGTATGCAGTATTTTACCAAAATCTGTGACATAGTCCATTTACTGTAACTTGACCTTAAACCAAGAGTTACAAGTAATGAAGTTGAATTCCTCCCTTCGAAAATTTAACGGACGCCATCTTGAGTTGGTTGACCGTTACTGAATTTTTTTTCACAGATGACAACCAAAATGAATTGATTTGTATCAAAAAGACAAGTGCATTATAGCTTAACCATTAACATAACTTTAGTTTTGGTAAACAATGTCATTCTTAAAATTTATAGGCAAAATTCTCAAAATTTGACTATATCCCTTAAAATTGCGATTCTGTGCAAACTTCAGGCGTTTGTTAGAAATGGGCTAAAATACTGTTAAAGCCCTAAAGTGCATACATTTGGCTGTGATACTCTAGATTCAAGTAAAGATTGAAATACTTCTTGAAAATGGCTCGGTGTAAAATTAATACAGGAAATTGTTCTGGGCAGCTCCTTTGTAGGTTAAAAGCCATATATAAAAATAGGAGATGTGGTATGATAGACATTGAGACAACTATCAACCAGAGTTTAAATGACGAGTTTGTTAGCAACTATAAGTCACCGTACGGCCTTCAACAATGAGTAAAACCCATACCGTATAGTCAGCTTTAAAAGGCCCCGACATGACAACATGTGAAACAATTCAAACAAGAAAAGTAACGACATAATTTATAACAAAACAATTTACGAAAAACAATATAACGGCATTCACTGAATTACAGGGTCCTGACTTGGTACAGGCACATAAAGAATGAGACGGTGTTAAACATGTTTGTCAATGTTAGTCTTAGATACATGATTTTTTTTTAATTAGTTGTTATTGGCTTTGAACTAGCTGTCTCTGTACTTAGTGTCTTTTTTGTTGTTAGGGATGAGGGATAGATATATTCCCTGCCACGTCCTATCTGTGTTTTTGTTTGATGTTTTTCTTTGAATCGATCTGATGAGTTAAGCCTTTTTCAACTGATTTTTATAGTTTGTTCTTATGTTGTGCTGTTACACCACAGTCTCAGGTTAGGGGGAGGGTTGAGAGCTCACAAACATGTTTAACCTCACCACATTATTTATGTGCCTGTCCAAATTCAGGAGCCTAGAGTTCAGTGGTTGTCGTTGGTTCTTGTCTGTTTTATTTGTTTTTCGTAAATTGTTTTGTTATAAATTAGGCCCTTAGAATTCTCAATTGAATTGTTTCATATTTTTCATGTCGGGGCCTTTTATAGCCGACTATATGGTATGGGTTTTTCTCATTGTTGAAGGCCGTACGATTGCCTATAATTGCTTACATCCTCTTCATTTTAACGTTGGTGGATAGTTGTCTCATTGGCAATCATGCCACATCTCTTTATTTTTATATTGTGAGCGCTCGCCCAAAGAACATACATATGAATGGTACGTGACGCAGCTCATTTTTCCAGAAGCTCGGATCGTTTCGTGGATAAATATGTGCTACTTTACTAGCTTTTTTTATTTGGATAAATCTTGTAAAAGCTGCATTTAACTATTATTCCGACAATAAATATGAATTTTATACAATATCTGAAAGTAACGATTATTATAAATATAGAATAATAAAAAGCATATTTTGCCAGCTGAGAAACAAAAACTGTACATGTCTTATATGTATACTGTTAATATTTCTTATTCATTTGCAATAGACGGAAAGATTTTGAACCCCCCTTTAATGTATGTCTTTTCTTATTCCGTCAACAGCGGGGGTTCAAAAGGAAGATTTTCCAAAAATAACATGGATCATCTTCAACATAAAAAATAGAATGTAAGACTAAAAAGTGTCTGTATTAACCTTCCTGTAAGTTGTACATCTCCATGCATCCTCAGTAGTACATATGTTTTTCTGTGAAAGTTTTTGTAAACGACTATGCTATCACGAGGTTTACACACTGAAGTAGTTGTAATATTTGGTCTTGTTTTAGATATTACACCATTGAACATCAGTGTTCCATGTTGGATATTCTCAGGCCAGCAAATGAATATATCTGAAAAGCAAAATATATGAAATAAGTTTCGTTATATGAATGTCGTCGTCCTAAAGGTAATTCATGAAATTAAAGTTAACCGTATATAGTGTGTGTGTTTTTATACTTTAATTCCATGCTAATTTCTAGATTAATCTTCACTAGGAATTCGAAAGTAGAGACATTCATAAAAGGGGGGGGGGGGGGGGGTGGATAAATGGGAGCCATGATACTTATAAGGATATGTATGAAAATAGACATTACTTTAGAAGAGGGATATTTAGTTTTCTTTTTTATCTTTTGTTTGTTTCTTTTTGTTATTTTTTTCAGATGGAATGGTTTTTGTTTGATTGTGTTTGTTGGTTGTATTGTGTCTTTTTTAGAGGTTGAATTGGATGTGGGGATAGACATCCTTGCTTGAAGTTATTCGAAATTTTTGATTTTATCTATATCACACTACTAACTGCATGCTGTTAGACTTATGTCATTGTTGATGACAATAATTCGGTTGATATACATTATATATGAAGCAGTATTGACTTTACGTATATCCACCGGAAGTAGTTATATATTGATTTAACTGAGAAGCGAATTGTATCTGATAGTGTCTTCTTTCGTCGTTATTCTTTCAATGGCGTGTCCCTTCGTTATCATTGTAGAGATAGTGTATACTAACTTAGCTTTAGGGATACAAAGCTTTATTGAGGCCGGAAAAAACAAAACATAATATCAATGATTCTTTCCTTAAATTCTGTAAATAGTTAGCAACTATTGAAAGGTTACCAAAAGTTCCGGAAGAATTTTAAACATTCAACGTTATAAGTTGTAGTTTTATAAGAGACACTTTTCTCGATTACTTTGTATGCCAAATATATTGCTAATAAATAAAAATTCATATAATGTTATCAAATATGTACACTTCCGATATATTAATAAAATATTCTCATACACCTTTCGTTTTGTTATGATTTATTATTTATTGCATAACGCTGTCGCGACCTCAGTGCCAACAAACTCTTACTTTTGAAGCAAACGAGTATCTGAAAAATCTGACTTAAGGTTCGTCAGTCAAAACTGTTTTTATTTTTATTTATTACATTGGTAGCAATGAATTACATTGATTTCCCAGTCAAAAAAAAACCGATAATTTCACATGTGAAATAAACGTGGTTATTTCACTCTCTGACGTCATACAACAATAGGCGTTGTCAAGACGTCGATAACGTCGGATCAAAACAAATTGTGAATGCGTAGAAAAAAGATATAGTTCCTTACATTTTCTACATTAATTTCATTAAAAAAAGCCATTTGCCAATGTAATAAAAGGAATAACTAATCAAAGAATTCAAATATCGAAAAATATTCAACTCGTGACCGAACAACACTGATAATTAACTCATGCGCTACGCGCATTCGTGAATTAATGTGTTGTTTGGTCACTCGTTGAATATTTTTCTCTATTTGAATTCTGCGATTAGTTATTCTATAAATATATATAGATAAAACCAATACTACAATCCAATGCTAAAACATAACAAGACCAATACCGGGACTGGGACTGCGTCGCTGCACGCAATTGATCGAGGAATAAGTATACTAAAGCATAACTGATCATTGAGTGTTGATAAAATTTCGAACTAGCGGAAAACAATAAGAGGCTGCACCGTAGATGTAAAAATACAGACCAAATGTAAAATCATTCCCTCCCATAGAAGAGAGGCGGATAATGCCAAAAGGGATAATCAAACTCGTAAGTCGAAAACGATATGACAATACCATGACAAAAAAAAACGAAAAATGATTGGTTGTCATCTGTGCAGTAGATATTGCATAACGGTCAACCAACTCATGATGTCGCCCGTACAATTTTGAAAGGATGACTTCAACTTCACTATTTGGAACTCTTATAAAGCGGAACGTGAAGTTAAGTGATAATGTTAGCTTCCAAAACGTCACTACAGACACGAGCATAGCGGACGAGTCGGATTATATAAACACCGTAAGATGGTGCAAAAGGAACATAGCCGTCCAAAAAAAGAACAATTAACAATAGGGAACAAAAAAATCGTTCCTTTTATCGTAATTTTTTATTAGATATTCCTGTGTAATACTGAAATATCTACATTTAGAAAAGGACAGTTATTGCTGTTTACATTTGATTGATTAAAAGTAAGTCCTTTGAGTAAATTTCGGTAGTATATTTAGAGAATTCTTGATTATTTAACGAAAAAATCAATAGTTAAGGAACTAGTTAAAATCACTGAAAGATTAGTTTAAGAACACTCACTAGGGGATGTTTACTATATGATTCTCCGTGGAGAGTGCGAACCTACGGAAGCGTATTAGCGCCACACAATTTTTTTTTTATAATTTTCTTCCTATCTTTGCGATATAACGCAAACCTTTGCGAAATAACGCAAACCTTTGCGAAATAACGCAAACCATTTGCGATATAACGCAAACCTTTGCGAAATAACGCAAACCTTTGCGTTATAACGCAAACATCTTGATTTCAATTATTCATTAAGTTTTGTATATATATCCGTCTGTCATTAAATTTCTGTTGTGATTTAGTTAGGAAAAGAACCATAAATACAAGGTAAAGTCATTATAATAAATATGCATAGGAATCAGAAAAGTATATAATTTAACAAGAAAATAGAAATGTTATAGGCATATTTTATTTGAAAGGTCAACATTTTCAAAATTTTGATTAAGTAGATAAGAGCAAAAATAATGTCATACAATTGTAAAACTGTCAAGTCAAATAGAAAAAATGATCTTTATGCTGTAAAATGAATTATTAAGAAAAGATTTTTTTTTAAATTTTGATGTAAGAAATCGTTTTTTTAAATCTCAGAATATGATAAAGATTTTTTGATAAAAAGTCATGAAATTTTCAATCTAGTGCGGTAACTTGGTAGCAATTTAAATGGAGAGAACATAATTTTATTAATAAAACATCTTCATTTTATTCATTTATTGCAAAAGGGTAGTTAACCAACCTTATACAATCCTCAAACGAGAGCTTACTTTGGAAGTATATTTATATTCGGCTATAGCTATATTAGCAGGGTTGTTTTTTTTCTTCGGTATAACTTTAATTTACTCAATTTTCATTGTAATATATGTACATGTATTATCATGTATATCATTTTGGGGGGCACTTTATAGCTTGATGTTCGGTGTGAGCCAAGACCGTACTTTGACCTATAATGGTTTACTTTTACCAATTATGACTTAGATGGAGAGTTTTCTCATCGGCACTCATACCACATCTACTTATATCCATTATCCTGCTCATTATCAGTTAAATAGTAAAGCATTTTACTTTGCAATGAGTACAAAGAAGATAAATTTTAATATATGCAGCCTCCTCAATTAATAACTGCTGCTTCCTTTGAATCTTAAATAAGAAATAAGATAAAACAAATGTTTGCGTTATATCGCAAAGGTTTGCGTTATAACGCAAAGGTTTGCGTTATTTCGCAAAGGTTTGCGTTATTTCGCAAAGGTTTGCGTTATTTCGCAAAGGTTTGCGTTATAACGCAAAAGGTTTGCGTTATTTCGCAAAGGTTTGCGTTATAACGCAAACATAGGAAGAAATATTAAAAAAAAAGTTGTGTGGCGCTAATACGCTTCCGTACGAACCTGAACAGTAGAAGAATTTATTATTTCGTTCTTAAGAACTTCCGTATACCACCACCACATTTATGTCTGTTTATTTCGGCTGGTACACTAACCGCTTTGCGAGTACATGAAGTTTGTTTCTTATTCTAGAAATATGCGTATTAGGTATCTTTTTATTTCTTTCTAAACTTTTTTCAAAATGTGATATTCCAATATCCCCAACATTTATATATTTATTTGCATTAAAACCAAGAGATTTTTTATCCGATTTTCCCCGTTTACATCAATTTTTTAATTACAATAGGATCATAGAGCGTCTATAATGGCCAGACGAAACTGTTTCAAATCTATTTTAGATGGAGGACGATATTTTGTCCTTTTTCACAGAGTTTTTAGCCTCTCGGTATCGTGTGATCAAAAGCAAACAGGAACACAATAAAACAAGAATTAAACTCCTCATTTGAACATCTCTATACCGATGAATCTAGTTTGAGATAATAGCGAAAATATAGGATAAAAATTCCACTTCTTGAGCCTTATTATAAAAATATTTTGATAAAGTATTATGAACATGGAGGAACAGCAAACTAACATACAGTCAAGGTTGTATTTTGAACTATTTAATCGTTTTATTTATCATTAAAATATCGCTTACAGGGAAAAATTTAGTTAACTGTCCCTCACTTCCACAACGCATAGAACTGTTCTTAAATAATAATCAGAGAGCTGCACTAATTTACGTTATTTATAACTGATCAAGTATAAACTGATCATGACACTTTAGAACACTTAAGAACAGTTCTATGATAGATTATTCTGACAGTTCTACCTTAAAACACGTAAGAACAGTTCCTTGACAGATTATTCTGACAGTTATACATTAGAACACTTAAGAACAGTTCTATGACAGATTATTCAGACTATTCTACATTAGAACACTTAAGAACAGTTCTATGACAGACTATTCTGAGAATTCAACATTAAAACACTTAAAAACACTTCCATGACAGATTATCCTGATAGTTCTACCTTAAAACACTTAAGAACAATTCTATGACAGACTATTCTGATAATTCAACTTTAAAACACTTAAAAACACTTCCATGACAGATTATCCTGATAGTTCTACCTTAAAACACTTAGGAACAGTTCTATGACAGATTATCATGATAGTTCTACCCTAAAACACCTTAAAACAGTTCTAAGATAGATTATTCTGACTTACATAAAAACAGGTAAGAACTGTTCTATGACAGATTATTCTGACTGTTCTACTTTGGAACACTTAATAACAGTTCTATGACAGATTATTCTGACTGTTCTACATAAGAACACTTAAGAACAGTTCTATGACAGATTATTCTGATAGTTCTACATTAAAACACTTAAAA